AGGTCTACATTTTGCATGAATTTAATGTTACAGTGAAGTATTTTTCACTTTGTTTTTTTTATATGAAGTTGAGTTTCTTCTTAGTTGTTGGCTAAGGCAGTGTTGAAGTAGTGACATGCTAACATACTTTATTGTTCATTTCTCTTCAGAAAAGATTGATTAATCCTGAATCAAACAAAGTGCAGCTTCACAAACAAGATTTTTGAAGAACAAATGTGTATTCAAGCAAAGTATATGTCCCTGACAGTGTCAATAAAATTTATTAATGGAAAGATCTGGGTTTTTACTCCTTTGTAGCACTTTTGACTACTCATCACTTTTCTAACCTATATAGTAAAAAGATCATGTAGTATAATCAGTATTTTTTCCAACTAACATATTTGCAATCAAAGTTCTCTTCTTTTATATATAGTATTGCCCTAATTTTAAAAATTTCATTATCTTATTCAGATCAAGCACAGTAACCATTGAAAAGAAAAAAAGAAAAAAAAAACCTGCTCGGTCATAGACGGCGTTAAAGTTTTGATATTAAGATATCAATGAAAAGAACATGAATGCAGACACTACAGTTCATTTAGCTCATGTTCAAGCTTTTTTTATAAAATAGAAAGTCTAGCTTGCTGGAGAAGACATAATTTTGCTTTATCTTTTCGGTAAAAAAAGTAATAAAATAACTTCCAGGTGTCTAAGCAATTTCAAAGGACCCATAGTGTCTTATTTGTCTGCTGCATAGAGCTGTGAACAAAGGCCGTTCTTTCTAGTGACCCGGCTTTCATCTAAAATATTGTTGTCCTTCGTGATCGTGAAGAGTGCAAAGTTGAATCCGGTAAACCGGCCAAAACGCGAGCATCGCAGGGAACGAATCCCATAGGAATAGGTGAAAAAGGATAATAAAAAGTCTAGGCTATTCTAAAAATATCCGTATATGCATTTGCAACTCATATTAAGCCGCAATTTCACTTCCTTCCATTGGAATAAACAAACGATGAATGTATTGCCGCCATTTTGAATTTGGCAATGTCACGTGGTCACGCGTCGACCAATCAGACATTTTTCGCCGGTGAAACCACGACGGCAAGGTGGTGAGCACGAGCATGCGCAATATCCAACAAATGATGATGTCACGTCCGGTTGAAGTTGCCGTCGCCCCGAAAACGTCTCTATCTTAAGTTCCCTAATACTAGCAGAGCGATCGGCAAGGTTTTTAATCGATGTTTTGATTTCATGTTACCGGTATGTGATACTTTTATGGACTGAGACGCAGAGAGGAATTCAAAAAAGCTCAAGAGCGCGCTCTCAAGTTCTTTCCTGGAATAAAAATAAAACCCGAGCAAGAATTGTGTTTTCAAGGCCTCGTAGTTTAAAGGAAAGATGTATTCGGAGTATGGAAAAGCCTCATATGCCAGCTTCTGCCGAACTGAACTATCCGAGTATTAGTTTCACAAGTCCGGGACAAAGAAGACGATATCAGTGTTTCAGATATCTAAGTTCTGATTTACCACATTCTGCCGTTAAAAGGGTATTGTTACTGTAAATGAAAATAGCGCGAGGTAGCCATGTATTGAGATAGCCGACAGCACAAATGCTTTTAAAACGCTTGACTTTGCTTGTGGCGGTTACGATAGCGTACGTGATTGGAATTCGTTCGCTTCCTCTTCCAAAATTTTCTCACTTTTGAAATGTCTTAAGCTCAAGCGGGCGCCATCATATTTCGCCAACGGGATTGTCCTTTGCTATAGGCTCTCACTTCTTTTTGAACTTGTAACAGCTTTCACGAGCTCTCTGTGAAGCGGTGGAATTTGCTGCTGCTTGATAATTTCTAGGCATAGCTGTTTCACCATCGCACCTTCCTATTTATTCTTGCAGCTCCTTTCAACCACCGGAGAATACGAGGGATAACATCAGCTTTTTAGCTGCCAGACAAGCGCCTGATGTAACTCTGTAAACAAAAGCAATTTACAATTTTCCGGGCACACGTTTATTTACAAACAGAGCGTTGGCGATCTTACACTAGCACAATTCCTAAAACATGTTATAATTCCTCAAAAACGGCAGGTTTTACATTACAAGTATTCGAAAACTCCTCATTGGAGGTTTCAGAAAAAAGCGAAATCTTAGCAACACAAGCACCGGAGCTCGGCCAGACCGTAAAGTGAGATTTATTTTAGGCGAGCTAGCTGACAACCCAATGACCGGAAGTGATTTTGATTGGATGGTATCGAATCATGCTGTGTGGGGGTGGAAGGCTCCAGTAAAAGCATCTGTGTCAGGCGTTTCTCTCCTTCAGCTCTCTCCCTTTTTCGCTTCCATCTCTCCCCTTTACCCCAGAAACGCCTGATACTCAGGCTAACCTTGCGGCTCGTAATCGCACATGGGGTTTTGCATATTATTAATAACAGATGGCCTTTCTTTGCATCTATTTAGCCTAGAGCTTTCAAATATGTCCCAAACGTCAGAAATAAGCTTTTGAAACAGGGTCATTTTTGGCCTTTCGCTCCAAGGCAATTAGTTGGGTTCATATTTTGCTTGATTTCGTCTTTCCAGCTAAATTTAGCGGATAACTATTACTTCCAGAAAAAACTAGAGGTGTTTACCTATAAATAAGTATAAAATTCATTGGTAGATGGTGCAAATCAAATATTTTACAGCGCCGCAAAAAATGCCTGTAAAGGACAAGACATAAGAACAATACCTTTCATTGATTTCGTAATTTTCAGGTTTTGATCCTAGTTACTAGCGTAGTTACAATGTTTACCTGATTTTCTATTGGTTTTGTAATGAGATATTTCGGCGTCCCCACGCGGGTATAAAAGCGCGCGTTAGCGTCCTTTTGGTCAGGAAAAGTCAAGTAGGATTCGCGTCGTGACATCGTTTTGTGGTTTTGTCTTAACCTTTGGTACAAGCGAGACCGATATGTAAGTGATTTCTTTTGTTATTTCTTTTGTTTAGTTTCGTTCTTTTGTCTGTGGGCAAAAGTACACCAATGTTACTGTACAAGTATACAGATTTAAGCTTAATTGATTTATAATTGTCTCATGAGCGAAAAGCGGATTTGAACGCCTGTTAGAGCAACGCCCACACTTTTGCTTTATAGTACCAGGATTAAGATCAGATTTATGGAATTATTGTCTAATTTAAGTTTATGTAGCTTTTACGTAGATTTTGCCGTCTTGTTATCGACCTAATCGTTAAAGAATCGCTTTATTGCCGTTTTTCGAGCTTTAGTTTGTTGATTACGCGTTATTTGTCTTAGTATCGCCCTTTCGCCAAATTGATAGAGATTTTTTGTATTGTTATTTCAGTTTACGGTCAATCTTTGGTCTATAGATTTTGGTCTTTGGAACTGATTTGGAATTAAATCACCGTTAACCGTCGCCTTTGGTTTTCCGTGGTTTTCTTGTTTTGCCGACTCGTAAAATAGTCCCTAATCTAACCTGCTGCGACACACCCCTCGAAGTTTCGTTTCTCGTTTGTTTGTTTGGGTCGTCGCCAGCCACAATCCCAAATTTTCAGTTTTCAAGACGTGCAAAATGGCCTTGGCGGGACAAAATACTCGGCGCCCCCCAGCGCGGCCAGAAAATTATCGTGAATCAAAGCAAACCTATTTCAGTTATAGTCTCGATAAAGCCTTTCACTCGCCAGAGTTTCAGGCAAAATTATTTTTCACGCGAAATTGAGTGGGCGGTTTTTACTGAGACAGCCTCTTAAAAGTTTTCTTTGTCCTCAAAAAGAAACAAACTTTCACATGTCACACGTCAAATCAAAACTGCCATACATGTGTTCGCGTACTGTTCTGGGTGAAATAAAAAATCTGCAGTCACAAAAGATTCCGTTCCGACTTCGTCGGCGCTTTGAACAACGCTTCTGCAAAGCTTGCCATATCATTTTTTTTTTTTGCAGTCGCCATGCTGGTTTTGCTGAATGAGAACAGAAGTTGCAGATAACTGGTTTGCCGTGGTAGATTAAAGGTTTGCAGCTAGTAGCCTCAGGATGATCTTTGTCGGTCAAACAGCTGCAGGCTGCTGATGCATTTTGCTATTTTCGGCGAGAGGCTTTACGATGTCGTGAAGAAACGTAAACATCCTTGTCCTACTTCGTAGCTGGTCGATGTTTTCAAGCCATACCGCTTATAATTTTGTGGCTCTTTATGTTTTGCCAGGGATGCATTTTATAGCAGCGTAATTACTTTCAAGGCAACGAAACGATTTCTTTCGGCCGTAGAAATTACAAGTATAAGCGTTGCAGGCTCAAAGTTTTTAGCCTTGAATTTGGGCAAAATAATTTTCCGTGCTTCTGATTGGACTGCTGAGCCGCCTAAAAAACCCGAGCATGGTTCTTAACACAAAAGGGGAAGTTAGACGCTTCGGGGTTATATGCTTCTGTTTGAATGGCATTTGACGTCTCTTATGACGTTATCTATCGAAACCTGTATTAGGCGGACACCCTGTATTAAGCGGACACCACAGCATTCCCCGAGGGTGTCCGCTTAGTACAGGTTTCACTGTATACGGGGATGAAAACTGAGTCTGATAGGGAAGGAAACAAATTATGCATTATGCGTTAGAAAGTTGGAATTACATTTTTACATAGTGTTACAGCTTCTGCTGGCGTGACCAGAACTGAGTTGACCTTTGCTCCAAGCAGGAAAAGAAAAAGCTGGAGCCGATTACGGCTCCTGTAAAAAGCTAAAATCCTGTAAAAAGCTAAAATCGCTACACAATGAATACAGTTTGAAAAGGACACAAAAGAGTTGTAATGCAATGCAATTCAATTCAATTCTTTATTTCACACTATAAAAGATATTTACATAAGTGTTCGTAGGTAGGAAAATAAAGTAGCGGACAAATAATAATTAACCAAAAGACATTAAGTTCATTTGTGTACAGTGTACAAAGTAGCAAGAGCTTTCTAGTTGGACACCGCAATGTTGAAATAATTGGCAGCAGTGAAGAGAGGAATAAAATCTCAGATAATATCAGTGATAGAACATATAAGAAAGGTCAGATTTGGTTGGTTAGAAGACAGGACTTCCATTCTTTCTTAAACTTATGATATGGCAGACACTTGAGACCAGGCGGTACAGTCTCCCAGATTTTTGGAGCGGAGAATTTAAAGGACGTCTTACCGAAGTTGGTGGATACTCTTGGCCTAAAATAGTTCGGATTACTGACAAATCTTGTATTATGATTGTGTATACGCGATGCTGGGGTCAGGACATCAAGGAAAATATCTGGAATGCTATCAGTCTCATTGCTCATTCTATGTATAAAGCAACATAGTTTGATTTTTATATATTATCTAAATTAAGGATTGTTAGGAGTTTGAAATAGGGAGCAGCACTCTCTCTAGGATGTACAAAGAAGATGGTGCGGAGACATTTGTTATGTTTAATACGAAGACAATCTAATCTGGTTTTGCTGGCACATCCCCAAGCAAGAATACCGTAACTCAAATAGGGATATATTAAAGCATAATAAATTTGTTTCAGTATATTCAGATCTATATAATATCTTAGTTTTGAAAGGATTCCTAAATTTTTAGCTAATTTATTATTTACATGTTGTATCTGTGGTTGCCAATTGAGATGTTTATCTATATAAACTCCCAAGTGCTTTATGTAATCTTTCTATCTTTGGGTGGCACCTAGATGATGAGACTAACATGTAATTGGTCTTTGCAGTGTTAATAGATAACTTATTTAGAGCACAGTAGTTATAAATTTGTTTAAGCTCTTGATTCATTACGGATTCAAGCTGTTTTAAGTTGTCACTAGAGTAAAATAAATTGGTGTCAACAGCAAAGCTCCGCACCGAAAGTTTGTCGACACAGTTTGGTAAGTCGTTCACATAGAGTAAAAATAAAAGAGGACCTAGAGTCGAGCCTTGGGGTATACCACAGGTAATATTTTCATACCTAGATTTAGTAGAGTCAATTTTAACATATTGTCTTCGATTGTATGTGCAAATAACCTTCAAACCAATTATGTGGTGTACCCCGAATTCCATACAGATATAGTTTAGAGAGCAGTATTTTATTATTTACTTTGTCAAATGCCTTTGATAGGTCGAGAAATAAACCACATGTTATTTGACCTTTGTCAGTAGCTAGCTTCAGATTGTTAGTAATTTCAAGAATAGCTTGTTCGGTGGAATATCCTTTCGTAAATCCAAACTGATATTTGCACAAGATTTGATTTTTATCTATGAACGAATATAACTGATTATAGACTAGACGCTCGAGCACTTTACTAAAAGGTGAGAGAGTTGCTATGGACCGATAGTTGCTAGGGTCTGTAGCATCACCACCCTTATAAACTGGGGAAATTTGTGAAACTTTTAAAATATAAGGAACAATTCCAGTTTCAACAGACTGGTTATAGATATATGTTAAAGGCATTGACAATGGCTGGGCAGCTATTTTAATTAATTTATTAGGAATATCTAAGGATGACTTATGATCATTTAAACCGCTTTAAATAGTGAACATACTTGGATTTCAGTAACACAGGACATAACAAAGCTAGCTACTGGAGTCGATCTTATGAATTGGGTCGGACTTCCATCACAATTTTCAATTCTTTTGGCCAGGTTTTGACCCACATTGACAAAATGCTTATTAAATTGATCGGCAATCTCAGCCTTATTAGTGAATTTTCGAGATGGGGGTTTGTCCCTTTGAGTTGCGCTTAACTAGCATACCAGTCAATTTCCAAGATGCCTTCAGGTTGTTTTTACATAGGTCAAAGTGTTGTGAAAAGTAGTTCTTTTTGCAAATGTTCTTAAGCCAATTCAGTTTGTTAGCATACTTTTTATATTCCGTCACCTTAATTGGATTGTTAGAAAGAAAGTGTGTTTTGCATCATTTATGCTTAGTTTTGATTGATTTAAGAACACCATTAGTTATCCACGGCTTAGTACACAATTTCATTTTTTTGGGGGGACAATTGCCTAATTGGTGCATGTTTATCTGCAATTGATCTAATCAGGTCAGTTATTTTAGCAGGGGCACCTAACGACAATTTTCGGAAGAATATCTGTTCGGAAGACGATTTGAGATCTAGAATTTTCGAAACATTTGTTGTAAAATTTCTTGCTTGCCTACCTCTCCTAGGATTTTCGAACATCTAAAAAATGGTATAACTGCCTATTTTTAACGGATTTTTACCCTAAAAAGGTCACCTAGAATTTTCGGGAGCCTTTTTTCTGGCTGAAATTTTCGAAAAGGTAAGTTTTGATCCCTATAATTTTCGGATCACTAGACTTTCAGCTAGGAAATCCGAACAGATGAAAAATTTTTAGGGGATAAAAATATGCCTATATCTACCGTTTAAATACTAAAATACGTTTAACAATGCTATGTTTTAGTGGTTTTGAACTATATTCTCGTTGGGTGCCCCTGTTTTAGTAGCTGTCTCATGCAGATCATTACTATAGATAGCATTCCAGTTGACTGCATTGATATCCTGTAAGTAAGATTCTTGATCAAAATTGCGGTAATCTCGATAATACTTAATAGGGTTGTGTTTCTTAACTGTTATATTTGTAACACAGACAACTGGGAGGGGATCAGAGATATCCACCATTACTATCCCAGAGACAATTTTGGATGTACTGTTGGTATAGATATGATCAATTAATGTAGCTGAATGATAGGTCAGACGTGTTGGTTTAATTTAGTAATAATCAGGGTAATAAATTATTGGAATACGGCATGTCAAGGTAAGCCTCTGTAGGTGGGTGACTATCTCATTTAAAAAAGTCTACATTCATATCACCAAGGATAAACAATTGGTACCTGTTTGGGTTAAATAGCTTCATTGTTTCGTCAAGTTTCCCATTAAATTCATCAATATTCGCACCTGGATGCTTGTAGATACAGCCAACCAAGATGGGTTTCTGGTTTTTGGGAGTAGCTATTTCAACCCAAACAGATTCCACAAGGGTGTTATGCGGTGATTAAAAGTGGAATAAACAATGCACGTTTAAACTTGCTTGGGTCCTTTTATTCCAAACTATCAATATTCCTGTCTTCATTTACAAAGTCTTTAGGCTAAATTACACGGGATCTTGTGCGCAAGGAAAATAAAATTTTGAACATACCAATAAGAGATTTTCACGACTTCGTAGAAAATTCCCTGACCTTGATTCTTTTGTTGCTTTACCTTGACACGTCCCTACCCGACACTCTGTATATGTTACTACAAGCAATGAAAGTTAGATTGTTAATATTATACATTTTGGTACAATATTTCCCCAATTATTAACAAAATAATAACACGTTTTAAAATTTCCCTTTTATTCTCGACATTATTATTGGCCGCTCACACGACAGACGAGCAGATGATTCGGATAAATGGCGTCAGACAAATAATTTGTCTTGATGTGAAAACGGAACGGTTACTTAAATTTGGGACTAATAATCTGTCTGGCCTTAACTGTCTCCCGTTATCCGTCAAGAAGGATAGTTAACCCGCCTCTTTTGTGAAAAGGGCTATTACTTTTAAAGAAACAAAATCGAAATATAAGTGAATTACCGGAAACCTAGCTAAATATACATGGGGCCTGATATGGTAGGTCGGGGCCTGGTTGGGGCCTGATATGGGGGGTGTAATATGGTATGGAACGTTCCAACCTTAGTAGAAAAAATGGACAATCTTGACGTTCGGCTGTTATCTGTGGAAAACGAAGCGCTTTTGACATGCAATTTCACTTAATAGTAGTTTCAATCTTTTTAATAACTTGTGTTAAAGATCAAGTAGATAGCTCAAGCCGATTCCTAGAAAGAAGGATTTGATTAGTATGTATCGAGGCGCTCTTGTTAGCGGTTTTTTAAAAGTATTTTGGTCTACTTTAACAAAATGGGCGTTTAATTTTTAAACCGCTCGATAGATTTTTTAAAAAAATTAACATTCTTGAGATTAAGCTTTCTTTTATATGACCTTTTAGTTTCAAGATTATTGATATATTGAAAGGCAGAAAAATAAGGGTTACAATTCGCTAATATTTTGGCAGACGTTTTGTGTTTTCTGCCTCTCATTATTCAGGGTATTGTGTCCAAGTTTCATATTTTCGTGCACAACAATAACTAGCAGTTTTGCATATTTCAAATGTATTGTTAGTTACTGCTGTTCACGTGAAAATGAAACTTGGAGACAATGTCTTAAATAATTAGAGGCTTTCACTTGTAATGACGAAACTTCCGATAAAAAAGTAGCGAATTGTAGCCCTTATTTTACTGCCTTACAATATATCAATAATCTCGAAACTAAAAGGTCATATAAAATGAAGGTTAATCTCAAGAATCTCCAAAAAAATCTATCGAGCGGTTTAAAAATTATTCGCTAATTTGTTAAAAAAAGACCAAAATGTTTACAAAACCGCTAACAAAGGCGCTTCGATACATACTAGTCAAACTCTTCTTTCTAGCAATCGGCTGGAGCTATCTCCCATTATCTTTCACACGCGCTTTTAAAAAGATTGAAACTACTATGAGGTGAAATTGCATGTCAAAAGCGATTTTCTACAGATAACGGCCAAACAACAATATTGTCCATTTTTTACTGTGTTTCTAACAATAAAAACTTTTATCCCAAAATATCTCGATAACGCTCTTACAGATTTCGCTTTGACTTCACGAACATCGAGGCTACTATTGGGGGAAAAAGCCCCCGTGAATGATTTTCAAAGAACAGTTTCCAGTGCCGAGATATACTGCTGCAAGTAAAATAGGTAATAGCGTCATTTCGTTGCTATGACACCTCTGATGCCGTTGCAACCCTGATCATAACAAATTTTTATCTTCATCTAATACAACTGTGATGGAAATTTTTCCAAACCTTTGTTTATGGCGACGTAGTTTATGCTCAAACTTGGTAGGTATTGGCCCTGAATAGCTGTATCGAGCCACCTTAAGTATTTTCAACTTTTCTCGTTTCGAGTTCCCTATTTGCTATCTTGGAACTATCTTGGAGTCTGAAACAGTACGGGTTATTTAAGTCAGGCGACAATCCGGCTGAACATAAAATCAGGACGTTTTGTTTGTTTGTTTGTTTGAATGATCTGAAGGGCTGTCTATTTTGACGGACTTTCAATAATCCCTCTCTAGTGTGAAAATAGCCTTTATTAGCCTGTTCACAGACATAACCTTTTTAGTCCTGATGGGAAACCATACCTGTAGTTGTTACGGGCGTTTTATGCAACTCATGCAATTAACATCAGCAGAGCCGGTGGTAGCGCCTGATAAAAGAAAACAGCCGAGGGGTGAGAGAAGAAGACATTATATTTCTTTCTTGCGCTCCGCTCTCGCCGAAGTTTTCGAAAAGAACAAAAAGAAAAATAAAACAACGTCTGTGTACAGGCGAGCCAGTATGAGAGAAATGAGTCAGAGTTGCCTCTGTTTTGAGCCAATGACTTTACTTGTTGGACCATTATCTACAGAATTGATTCAATGAAATAAGAAAACGTTTGCGACTGTCCCTCTCGTTAATCAACCATATATTGGCAAATTTCTAGCCTCCCACGCTGGCGTTCTTTGGGCTTCATCGCGAGGTCCAGTTTTTTTTCTTTACTTTCTCTTCTTGTCTCCATATCCTCCATTTCCTGTAAGACCTCTCTTGTATAGCTTCCTGGAGACCAGGCTATCTGGCGTACAGTATCATAATAAACACCTGAAGCACCTGTAAGCAAATTAATGCGACATTTCTAATTATAAACGAAGATAAATTTTTCAGAGTCAACCGATTTGTTTTACTGACCATTTTTATGATAGAGACGTTAAGGTCGGTACACACTAGGCGACAAGTTGCAGCAATATGTCGCGGAGACATATCGCAGCGACAAATCGCTTCGTGTAATGGATAATTTTTGTGAAGTCTTTGTCTCTGCAACAGAATTTTGTCGCAACAACAAGTCGCAGCAAATCAAATCACAGAATTTGTGCGACACATTGCGGAGACAAATTCTTTCACAATGCAAAATTTCTCCAGTCCACACGAAGCGATTTGTCACTGCGAAGTGTCACCGTAACGTGTTGCTTGCCCTGCAGGACCTGTGCGCAAGGAGTGTTCTGTTGCCGCGACTTGTTGCTGCAACTTATTGCGAGTGACGCACTTAACAGAAGCTGTTAATGTCACCAGAAGTTAAATGCATATAGATCTAGCGGCCATTTCCTCGATTAGGCTCAAAAGAGCTTGAAGAATGTCTTGTTTGTTGAATCAGTATACCGCTGGCAGTTGGTACTTTACTGATACCATCAACACATTCTCAAGCTTGGCAACCACGTTTTGTTACTTTTTTAGTTATTTTAAAAGGTTACTGTCATGACAGTTTCATCAGTGAATGTTTTAATAAAAACATCGACGTTAATCATCATCCAAAAACAATGTAAAAAGGTCGTCAAGTTTAGCCCACTCTACTTATTGATAAACTTTTAAACATGCTTATTAATAAAAACAAGCTTTAAAGGAAATTTACTTCTGAAAGAAATAAATGGTTTTATGCTTAGTGTGACTGATCAATGCCTAATATCTCCAGCTGGATATCTTTCAAAAGTACTTTACATTAGACCAGCCCCCTTTTAAGATTCTGAGAAAACAGTTAAGACCCAGGTCTTAATCCACTTAAAGGACCTAAAAATTACTAAGATCAATTTATAAAGGCTTCAAAATTTTCAATATCAATATAGACTTAAGAAAATCGAGGAAATTACATGATCGCGCGGGGATACGAAGTTTCTCTTCGTGTGTTGAAAAAATAATTTTCAACACGAGAAGAGAACTATTGTATCTTCAAGCGGTCATGTATAGTAATAAATGTTTTATTTATTATATAGACACTAATGAGATACCAAACCATTTCACTTTAAAATTTATTTGCTACGGGAAGCCATAGCAACGGTGATCTTTTCACATGTGAAGATAACATGTTATTTCCACGTGTGAAGATATCATGTTTTCGCCCAAAAGCCCACCTGGTAGTTCATTAGTGTTTATATAATAAATAAGTTATCAATGAAAGCATTCTTTAAAGATAAAAGATTGTTTTTCTTTTCAATATATATACATATATAAAAAGGGAACAGAAAAAAAATAATGAACCACGTTAATTCATCATAAAAAATGTCAAAATGATGCTTAAACAAGAGGTTTCTTTCTAATATAAGATTATAGCTTGGTGTGGCGCCAAAGATGATTTTTTGACTTATTTTGGTATTAATTGGCTATAGATTAAAGCTCTAAAAATTTTTTCAATGACGACATCCAAATGTTTTGTCAGTTAATCCTATATTGGTTCCCGTTTTATTACTGACCAAAACAGCAAAGAAAAAGGCGACTTGGAGAAATACGCCTTGACGGAAATGATCGATCAAGAAAATTGCGAGAAAATTTTCTTGGCTGTTTTGTTGTTATAGTTCATTTAGATTTCTTTTTGAGACTGAAATAAGGCAAGAGTTTGTTTGCTCCCCAGAACGTAATATCTTTCGTCCCCGGAGAAGAGCGGTTTAGGTTTAGTTAAGGTCTACAGGGTAAATCTTTGGTAAATGTTTTGGACAGGAGTTATGATCCCCGAGTGTCTGAGCAATAATAGTAGTTTAAGTTTGTAATAAATTTGATTCATTTCGTTGCAGGTTATAGTGACGATTTTTACTGAGTAATTACACAACTTACGATTCGCGCAATTCCGTAGAAGGCATTGAGGAGAGCTTCTCACAGGAAACTGCTTGATCAGCATACATGCGTCACCTGCCGTGGCGGTCCATTCAACTAAATTTTGTATTTCGTTTTTTAGTTTTGTTGTCTCGTTGTACAGTTTGTTAATTCTACTCTCCAGTCGAACATTTTCTTGCTTGACAAGTCTGTACCTTTGATTTTGGAGCGCACTGACTGAGCATCCCATATTTTGATGTCTGTCATCAAATGAGCAATTAAACAGAATTCAATGCCTCATTTTATCTGTTCTTAATCGATTTTTAGTTTCCAGTTTACAATGGAAAAATTGTTTCAGAACGGAAGCTGCATACGATTATATTATAATTCAGCTTCCCCGAATTCGAAGACGCCGCACGTGTTTTCCGTGTTCTTTGTAAATCTTACTTTAATACACACGTGGGTACACACTGTCCACACGAATCAAGATGCCGTATTTATTCGAATAAACGAAGCCCAACCTAAAATAAGCGCCCATCCTAAGGGGAGAGTTAATAAGCGCCCACCCTCGAATATGCGCCCATCTCAAGGT